CGTTATCACGTTTCGACGTGTCGTAATGAAATTTCTCTGGTATCTTCAACCTCCCGAAACTTTATTGCTTATATTTTATTTTGAAAATCACTGGAAACAATATTTCGTTAATATTCTATTTTTTGTATAATTTATTAGCATACTTTGGCTTAGTAAAAATGAGTTCTTGAAGAGGAAGACCATCTTTGAGATGTTCAAAAATTTCTTTTCTTGTAAGTAGTTTCACTAAATGAAGAGTTTGAATATTTTTTAAATATTATAAAATGTTTGAAATGCAAAAAATCTCGTAAATTTATTAGCATCCTTTGGTAAAAATGAGTTCTTGAAGAGGAAGACCATCTTAAGATGGTCAAAAATTTCTTTTCTTGTAAATAGTTTCACTAAATGAAAAGTTTGAATATTTTTTAAAAGATTATATTTTTAGATTATAGCGTGAATTTCATTTTTAAAATTTTCGTTGATTTAAGAATGGAGATGCATCGGTTAAAGTTTCATTTAAAATGTTATAAAATGTTTGAAATGCAAAAAATTAACATTAAGGACTGATTTTGGGATATCGAAAATAATCATATGCTGTAATTAATATATCTTTATTTGTAAAAGAAAGAATAGGAATGTTCAGCGAGTAATAAAATGACACTTTGAAATTAGTGATTAACTTCGTTATTATAATATTATAATTCAAGTATAAATACAAAAATCTCATTTGTCATTTAGTAATTTCTTATGAAGTAAATTCACGAAACTTTACGTTTTCAGATGGCTCAGAAATACTCAGTCACGTTTAATTAAAATTTTTCTAATTTTGACAGGTGTCATAACCAGAAGAACAGAATCTTAATTCAAATTCTTCTTTCAAGGCACTTTAGATGACACTTTAGATTGTCAGAATTCCTCATTCTATTCTCTCTCAAATGATCTAATTCAATCTTGACTCAAGAAAACAAAAATACCACCACTCTTACGGCATTGTGGTGAAAACGAGTAAACAGCGGATGATAGCGTTGCATAATGTTTGCCACAAACTCGATTAGATTCTTACCTTTATACGGAATCGAAATAAAAAGATTCGACTTAAGCTGCTGGCAGCGAAGGAATTATATAATCGTCGAAATCGATAATAAATACTTATCATTTTATTCTTTTCCTAGTTTTGTAAATTTAACGTAAGTTGAACGTTAGATGTAGCGATACACGCAGAAAACTGTAAATCTAGAAATCTAGTAGAACAGTCGATTCAAGATTTCATTTTAACGTTGCTTGAAAAATGTAACAAAATATGAAACGTTTCTGTCCTGCGGTCAATACAGAAATTAATTGTAATTGGCCAATTAGAAACGTTCCAGAGTTTTCATTTCACGCGTCCAGGTATCGGTAGAACTATCTTCTCCTCGTCTCTCAAACCGATAATTTCGAACGAGTCGAACGAATCGAACGAATCGCCATGAATACATACTCGGCCCGTCAATACGCGGCCGTGACTTAATTATCGTATCGATATTTATCCCGTTGCCAGGAACAAGATAACCAAATTGGCCTCGGACGGGGTGCGTTTCACCGGTTTCCCCCTATCGGTATCGTTCTTCTCTTTCACCTTTCGCTCTCTGGTACGGCGGTATCCATCGACATCGCTGCGACGCGACGGTTTCGTCTAATTCATTTGCTGGGAATTTCCATCGGTAACCGATATGCACCGTGAACTACCTCCACTTTTTCTCATTTCCTTCTTCTTTTTTCTCTCGTCGTTTGTTCGGGACAAGTCGCTTTCTACGAGTTCTCTCCGCCCCGACTATTTTTCACTGCCATTTTGCACCGCCGCCGAAAAAAGATTCGCGCAGTAAATCGCTGTTTTAATTCTGCACGGATTTCGAGTAGATCATATACTCTTCGTCTTCTTGATTTGAATACCTTCGCTTTTAAAAGTTCTTTTCTTTCACAAAAGTTGGATACGTAATTTGTTGCACATTTTTATTATAAGATTGTTAAAAATGTTTAAATTATAAAAAATAAACTTAAATTTTATTATTTTATAGTGTATATATATATATATATATTTATTACAATAATCATATTATTTTTTTTTAAATTTAAATTTATTATTAATAAGAAATTTTAACTCTTATAATAATTAAATTATTCTATTTCCCAAATTATATAATTTTCTTAATAACTGTTTTATTTATAATAGTTTGAATAACTGTTAAAATCTGTTCGTCTGTCTTTTCACTCTTCACGTATCGTTCCGTGTAAGTTCTACTGAACGTAGTAACAGCGTTAAGGAAAAATAATTGTATATGATTAAGGTGTGCTGTAACGTGTGATGTAACAAATGTTCAACGTAAATGCATAACTCGTGTCGTGTCGAAACCCTGTTTTCACATAAGCAGCAGACAAGTGTAAAGCACTTAACAAAGAGAAGTGGTCTCTTCTGGACGAAAATCCAGTTTCCGCATGGACAACGCGTAAGGTAAAGTGCTTGAAGAGGGTGCGTGAAGCATTTTAGGCCGAAATCGCGTTATTACACGTTACCATATCGGCTGAATATTTTTTACAACGACAGTCTGTCGTTTGGCTCGTTTCCCTTTGCAATTATTATTAAAAGGAAAGAGATTGTATTTGCTCGTTCTGCTATTTATTTTGACAGTCACGTATCACAAGTGTCGAAGATATTTTTAATGGTATATGCAGTCTAACGAATGGAGAAGCGGTCTTTCGAATAGCATGTTACGAAAATTTCATATATCCGGTTGAATACTCGTAAATTGGCTTAAAAACACAAGCGTGAATCCGAGAAATATACTGTTCAATGAAGCATTAATGCCACGAAACTAGAGGCTAAAAGTTACCCTTTCTCGTCGATATATGTATACTCCGGTTTAACAAATATTTATACTTATTAAAACGATCCATAATCTGTAATAAATTGGAATGTATTCTATCAAATCACGTTAGCTAAATTGCAAAATCGATGTTGTTTTTTTCGAAAACAATTTTCATTCAGGTTCCTTTCCTGTAACATTTTAATTTATACTCGCATCATGGTAGAGGGTTACGAAACATAATATTATATATTCGGTGGCCTTAACCTTTCGTATTTTACGAGACACGTGAGGCCCAGCAAGGAAGGCAGGTACGTGAATCAATTCCGTCTATTTCTTCAGACACGAAGTACGAATGACAATGCACGAATACTTCTTTCCGAAAAGAAAATTGTTATCATATTTAAAATCTTAGATTCTAAGGAATACTTCTGCTCAATGTTACAATAAAAATTTCATCAATTATAAGATATTTAGATAGTCAAAACTATTTAGTCGCTCTGTCCTTAACACATCGATTTTTTAACTTTACAATCTGGAGAAATAGATTTAACTTTTTTTCACATTGTTAGCAATTCGATCAAGTACCAATACACGATATTATGTTTTTGATATCAGTGTGTCGCTAAAAGTTCCACCAGACGTTCAATGCAAAGCGTTTTTAAATGAAAATGCAATGCCTATCCATCGTGAATGTGTTAATAATTTGACACTGTATGTGCGTGTATATTTCATTCTCAAGCTTGATTGCGTCAAAGTTTAAATTAAAATTTAGTTAGAAGATTGAAACATGCTTTCAAACGTGCTCGTTCCTTTTCTACGAATTTTATTTGCGTCTAAAAAAAGAAAAAATACGAACACCACGTACAATAAAGAAGACTTGAAGAATTTCATCAGAAATACAGAGTCCCCCGTCATTTATTACGAAGCAGACTCCCATAGAGTTGATTGCGCTCCGAGTATCCGTGAAAATGTACCTCCATCGCTATTATCGCCTTCCTCCGTTTCTCGACCTCGTCTTCGTGGAATCGGTCTGCTCGTCCCGCCATCATCGTCCGTCCGCTGCATCACTCGCGACCCTGAAGAACAGGTACACACGCGGTGCGGATGTTAAAGAGAAAGAACTTGTTCGGTTTCGTTGAGCGCCTAGCCTCTCCCGTAATTGCATTAGAACGAAAGACGGAGACAGCCAGACGTCCACGCTCGTATATGATATGTCCATGGAAAATGACTTTAAAAATATCGAGGGGTGCGACGAAGACGGGAGTACAGTAGCGGTGCGCACAGGGGGAAGCCCCTTTATGCCAAGCTTTTCCCCACCCTGTTTCTCTCTAAAACGCACGTACTTACACAGAGATATTCCCACGTCACACGTCTCTGTCTCATCGGTAACGCACACCCACGCACTATCTTGTTTCTGTCAGACTTCCCAAGGTGTTATATATCTGAGGATCATGGAATATTCCTTGGTCAGTTCCTTGCTACCGAGTTGTTTGTTTTATGGATCACTGATGGCATACGACGAGTACCAAATTAATCTCTTGCCACGCACGTGGAGAATTTTTTTATATTTTATTTATTATCTTATATTATATTTATATTTTACTTATTATCTTATATTTATATTTTATTTATATCTTATATTTTATATTTTATTTATTATCTTATATTTATATTTTATATTTTAATATTTTTTCAGTTCTAAGTATATTTAAGTAAAACAAAACAGGCAGAACAAATGATAAATTTATTACTTCTCAATAATTTCTATACAATGATATCTTACCGGCGAGTTTAAAAAGAAAGCGACGAATTATTTGGTCACTCGTTATGGTCCGCGCGAAGAAGAGTTAAACAGAGATGTTTCTTCATTGTCAGCGGCGATAGCAATCTGACAATCGCCAAACGATTCAGCTTAAATACTCTAATCGAAGTTTCTGCTACGCACAAGTATTCTATAATCCCGCAAAGGACTCTGCATATAGAGTACCATTATCAAATAAATTTGACACGTCTTCATTGATAGAAGTGTGTGAACGAGGGAACAGGAAGTCGCGATTTAATAACATCACAGTGCGAGACACACTTGTCCATCGAATAAAAAAAAAAAAAAAAAGAACAGAAACATCGACGATTTAATAACGCACGATGTACAATGCCATTATACTACAAAATTACGCAGAGGTGTTACTTTAGAGTAGTTGAAACGATGGAAACTGTGTGTGTACACCTTTATACTTTATTTTATTTTTTCCTTGATTCGTTGCTTTTTTTTTTCGCGTCCCACCCCACCATACATCTTTCTATCCCCTCCTTGAAACTTGTCCTCCCCCACCACACAGCCGACTACGTCGGCCGCGAGTCGCTTTCTCCGTTTATCGTAGCGTAGCGGCCGATAGCTGATAGCGGTAGCTGGTACCTGGCGAACGCCTGGAGAACGGCGACGTCAGTCTGCGCCTGGTTGTTCGTTGTACGTATCTGTACGCGCCTCGGTTACCGTATCGGTCGTACCTTTTTTCGTTCGCATTTTTCCCCCCTTTATCCTTTTTTCCTCTTACTCTCGCCCGTCTTCTCTTTCACTCTCTCCGTCTTCCTAGTTTTCTTTCTTGATTTTCGCTGTTCCTTCCGCTCGATTCCGTTTTCACAATTCGCTACTAGTTCGGGAGGGGGGAGAAAAAAGGCAGCTAGTGTGTCGTGCCTCGTTCGTCAGTTGTTCAGTGTAATTGGTCCGATGTTTGGTTTGGGAAGCAGGAAGGTGCTCAAATATTCAGCCATCGACACGTCCTTTTCCATCGACGTCGAGGACACCGTCACGTGCTTTTGCAGGTTAGTTCTCGCTTCGAGCGCATGCGCACGCCTCGACTTGGTTAGGATCTACGAGATCTCTTTGAATGTGCGATTTCATCTAGAGAGAGAGAGAGAGAGAGCTATATAATATCTAGGAAATCTTGAACATCTTCGCTCGCGAGTATGATTGGTATACAAATAGCTGACCCAGTCGATGGTCAGTTAACGCGGCAATACTGTATTCTGCAGACTTTCTCTGGTGCCGATCCTGACTAGAGATTTCGTTCGGAGAAGAGTCGAGTCGAACAGGATTATAAAGCTGGATCCTATTGTTGTGCGGGCTGATAGTATAAAGGCTTTTGGGATAGTTTGTAGAATGGTAAGTGTGATTTGAGGTTGAGTGGAGATGTTGGGAGTTAGAGAGCTCTTTTGTCGAAGTTTTGTGGATTATTCGAGAGGTTGGAATGGTTACGTGAGAATCGACGGTGCATGTTGCTTTTAAAGTTGCGTCTCAAGCGTAATGGAGTGTAATTATGCGAATGGAAATTCTTCAATAGCTGTTGGTGAATTTTATAGAATTCTCTTATTGCCACTTGCCCGCTTTGTGCTTATTGTTATTGTACAGTGAGATGTTCATACAGTGAGATATTGAAATTTTAATAATTAATTGATTGAAGTTATTTAAGCGATCTTTAAAGATGCTATTCTAACTAATGGTAGAAAAATTCATATATAAATTCACGTATACGTAAATAAAAAATAATGTTTTCAAATTAAGAAAATTTTGTTAAATTTGATGTGAAATATAGTTACTTTTTTTTTCGATTTGAGATACTTTTTACGCTTCCAGACGTAGCTATAGCTCATTTCTGCCAGAATCAATATTTGATGTGTTACTCAAACAATTCCGGTTGCGTGTACTAGCTTGCATATTGGTCTAGTTAAACACAAAACGCAAACAGGTTGTTCAGAAAAGCTTGCGGAGGATACGCGTTAAACTTAATGGTGAAGTTGCACAATATTCAAGAAACGTACAAATATTTTCGTACCTTTCGTTTGACAATGAGATAACGAGAGAAATCTTTACGAACGTAATGATACAACTACGTCTCTACATTTCTGAGAATTGGAGAAAAAATATCATACTTTCAGATATTATACTTTACTATACTAATTTAATATTATACTTACCGACGATCAATCGGTAAAATTTCAATAGAGCATATAGATAAATTATTCTACTTTCCTGAGAAATTTTTTTTTTATCTCTGTACGCGAAAAATCGCAGATTTTATTCATCTGAGCGAAGCATTTGAGATAAGAGAAGTAACACCTTCATTGATTAAATGTAAAAAAAAAGTTCAAGGTACTCTATTAGAATTTTTCATTTCAAAGTCACAAGAAATTATTGTTTGCCATTTTACTCCCTTCTTTTTTCAAGGGTTTATGTTTTCTTTCTCAATATCTTTTTATCTTAATCGGTAAATATCGTGCATTATCATGGATTCGTTCGTTTAATTTTCGAATTCGAGATAAATATGAAATCATCGAGGCAAAGAGGAATTATTTATGTATCAGATAGAGATCAAAATCAAATGAAACTCGAATTGCATAGGTCTCTCGATAAAATGTGTTATTAAATCTACTGTATCAATAATCTTTCACGGGTCGTGTATGACAATAAATATGTAATAAATACTGGCAAATGGTTACCAATGAATTCACAAACTTGTCCTTCTATTCTTGCACATTTTTTAAAAATAAAATATAGTTTTATAGGATGTAAATATAGGTGCAGGTTCTGTGATATTTATTTTTCTAACACGTAGCATTTTTCGATAATGACATTCTTCTATAACAAAGTACATCCTGTCTTCTAATTATGCATTCGATGCGCCATTGTTTCAAATTATAGTTCTAAACATAGCTCTGAGATGATAAGATCGCGATATGAAATTTAATCTCTAACACGTGAAAATAGAATTTGTGCCAATATTATGCGCAGTTGGAATTTATTGTCAGTAAAAGAACTTGTGAATTGGCCTTTTCATTAAACTCTCAGGGATATCTGTGCAGTGCAAAATATATTAGAAATTATTTCAACAATAATCAATTTTATAATCATGCACAATTATATACTTGTGAGCATTTAAAGCTACAAAAAATATAAATTTTATAATTATATGTGTACGTGTAAATTTTATAATTATATATAATTATATGTGTATGTGTAAATTTTATAATTATATATAATTATATGTATATGAGCGTTTAGGGCTACAAAAATTATTATCAAACCTGTGTCTAATTATTATTATTAATAATACATCATTAATATATAACTCAAATTTATCGTCAACATTAGTCGTTGTCCTCGAAAGGTTGACAATAATTTTTTGACCATTATGCCAATTTAACACCAAGGATCAAATTAATTTGAAAAAAAAATAAAGAATGTATGATGTCGTGACAAAAAATGTGGTACAGCTTAAAAATTCGAATAAAAAGTTAATTGAACACTAAATGGAATAAAAACAGAAAAACTACTTTTAACGTTGCGGTTTTTGTAAAAGCAGTCCTTGTTTGAGCAATTCATCCTTGAGCACACCCTCGATTTGTACGTATCTACGATCGGTAGAAAAGTAGTGAGCACAGCCATTGTGTAGAGGAGATAAAATTTTCTGATCGTTGGAGATCCGTTGGCGTTCGCTGGCGTCTCGAGGATTGTTTGAATGGCGCGATAACAAGCAAGTGAGAGAGATCGCTTTTGACGTGTCAGCCGAAGCTGAGACTACGTGCAAACAGTCGGTGGTGAAGGAATTAGTGGTCTTATCGTGGTACGCGATAATGAGGCTACGAGAAAAGAGCATTAAGATATATCACGATCGAGCTTCTCGATAATTTTTTGTTAAAATCTGCGCGATGCTAATTTCACGAGGATTGCGTAGATCGAAGTGGCATTGAATAGCATTACAACGTGTATTTTCAGCGGTTTGCTGAAAGTTTGTAGTTTTGTTGGAGGAAAAAATCGCAAGAGGTGAAATGATTCAGTCTGGATGATGTCGAAATTTTAGAAAAATTTTCACATAGACGTTGTAGAACAATCATAAAATCTTAAAGGAATCACTGATTTATTTATGTAACGGTATTGTTAGGTATGATTTAAATCGTGACGTTTTACACGGTATTCTAAATTTTGAGACTCGTTGGGAATCGAAATTCAGATTGAGAGGAATCGCGACGTAAATTAGTTCGAATTCATATCACTTCATTTCAATCGAATTAAAAATAGTTCCAAACTGAGATGTATATTTGTTGCTGTTCGGTTTAATTCAGTTCGGTTGGCGAGCATTATTTTTGGACTCGTCTGTGAAACATTTAATTCGAGAAGCGGGTCGAAGTTTCCTGAAACACGACATGTTTCCTAAATCGTGAATGAGACGATGTTGCAAAATGAAAGTTATTTACGGACATGCGAATATAGCAACGCGAGCTATAATTTTCGTCCTATTTTATCACTTGACTTGAAGTATTTAGCGAAGATAAAGAACCACGCTATCGGTAGAAATTCCAAAGAGTTATAAAGAACAAAAAATATCGCGGAATTCTAATCGCTTAAATTGCAATATGTTCGAGTCCGTAAAATGTAAAGTGAATTGTAACTGACAGAAAAAAATTTATTTGTATTTATAAAAAATATAATAGGAATGATACAAAAAAATGATAACAACACGTGTAAATTAGTTTGACGACAAAAAAATATGTAGCACGTTTATGAGAAATGATGCATAGTGTATGCAGATATAATGATACATAGTATACAGAGTGTATCAAAATATATGGGCATAACTTCACTTCACAATAAAATAAGAAAACAAATTCATATAAATCTATGATATCCATAGATATGTCTATTACTGAAATACAATCATTTTTGTATTGTTTATACCTTGTAAGCTTCTTATTATCTTATTATTAAAATTTTGATTCCTTCAAAATCATTTATTAATTAAATGAAACGAATTAATTTATAAATTAAATGAAGAATTCAGTTGATCAAAATTATTGGAAGACAAAAATTCGACCCTATCTCAGAAACAAGATATCATCAGGCATATGTTATACGAATTATTTTTCTTCTTTTAGCGTGTTGAAGTTATGACACGTTCTGTATTATTCCAATTAATTGAAAAATTAATATTCGTGAAATGATTTTATCTCGTTTCGCGTCATTTTGAAAATCTGACCATTCGACTATGCACATGAGTCTTTCTTTTCCTATATTTCTCTGTGTATCCGTGTTTTCGACATTTTAATACTAAACTATAATCTACAGATTAGCTCTACTTTAATTTTATAATGTACTGTATACGTAACTTTAAAATACCTGAATATCTTAGGCGTAATATTTTTTTATTCGCGCCAATTCTGTTTATTCGGCGTTGAAGTCGATTTTAAGATCATTAAAATTCACCAGTTGGTCAGTAACAGTTGGTCGAACAGTCGTCCGACACGGATTTAGAGTGAATCAAATCGGATCGAAGGTTAAGGGCATTTGGAAATTGTAGTTCAATCACGGTGAGGTAGCAATCAGCGTGACCGCGGCAGGATTTCACGGTTTATCCTTTCTATTCGCGCGATTTATTTTTCCACTGTTGATGATTTCCGACGTTCAAGGTCGTTCTTTGATTATTCCCGTTTCCCGGAAAAGCACGCGCATAGAGTGTCTCATTTCGATTTATTGCAACAACCACACGAAATGTTACGCAATTCACGATTGCCTGCTTTTCCTCCATTTTGCTTCTCCTTTACGGTTATTATAGTCTTCCTTTATATAGTCTGTATTATTCTAGTCTCCCTTTACTTTCTATTTATGTCGTTTTGAGAGAACATCATGCATTAGATCGTGCACAACCTTGTTTAACTTCTTGCGCTGGAACGACGTGTCACGCACGTCGAGAATTTTTTTCTCCCAAAATTGCAATATTTCCTCAGTTTTAAGTATAATTAAGTGAAACGAAATAGACAGAAACAAATAATAAGTTTATCACTTCACAGTAATTTCTGTCCAGTGATGTCACACCGACGAGTTCAAAAAAGAAAAAGAAAGCGACGAATTATTGTACACACGGTTTGGTCGCTCGTTATGGTCCGCAATCAGCAGTTGCCAGCGCAAGTGGTTAAAACTTGATACGTGCACCTATATGGGGATCATCTTACAAGTAATTTCTCTGAACGTTTTCTGGAAGTTTAAAACAACGCGAATTGTTATTATGAAATGGAATAATTAAATGCAAGAGACTAAAGAATTGTAAGATATAGAGAAATTCATCACTAGTCGATTTTAATATGTAATTTCTTATTTTTATTTTATGTTTTGTTCGCCAGTTAGAATCTCAAAATTTTTTATCCTTTTCCATCCTGACAAATGAAATGAGGATACTTGCGGCCAAAATTGATAAATATACGAAATTCAAATTCAATTTGCTAATCTTTTTCACGATCTGTTAAACGATCAATATGTAAAAACGGTGATGAGAGCGACGTGAGCAAAAAATATGTTACGTGATATATTACACGGAGAATATTGCCAAATTAGTTGGCACATCAAGTAGGTTTTCCAGCATCCTACACTGAATCCAGTTGGCACTTTGACTTTAACGGATTAACCTGTTTGCTCTGAAAAACAGATTCTGGACAGGAACGCTACTGGCCAACATTTTCAATGAAAAAAACTTGGACGCGTTGCTGATATATCAATAACGTACCACTAAAGTTGGAGAAAAAAAAAAAAAAGAAAGTATGTTTCGGGCCATTTCAACAATTGTTAGACCATTCACGTGTTAGATCGACAACTCGGATCGGTAACATTCGTGAAAATTTATCTCCGCGAATTGCGCAAATGCCAGCACTGATATTGATCAGGGGAATTAGAAACTATACATAGAATAAGCCGAAACGCCAGCAATACGTGTGAAGAATTGAAATATCAGCGTTAGTTATCTGAAAAATATTGAAATAACCGACTAGGTAACGTATGATTTTCGATTTATGTGTTTACGAGTTAATAAAAATTGCGACACGAGCCGAAAGAATTTTCAGATATCGAAATTCACTTTTTTTTTTTATTTTTATCGGGTATTTCGCAGATTAGAAGAGTAACGTGTTAAAGTTATTGGAAAATTGTGAAAAGAATTAAATCACTTTTACGATTATTGCGCAACGACATCTGAATTTTAAGTGCAAAATAAAATTTCCGAAAGCTGAATTTTCATATTTGTATGAATTGTATGTTAAAAGAAGAAAAGAGAAGGTTATAAGTAGGTGTATGAACTTGGAACATAGACGAAACTTGCAAGGAGCTAGCTTTCACATCCGCGTAAATTACTAAGTTGGATAGTAATCACGTTAGACATCGGGTCGGTAACAAGTTTCAAGTTACAAATGTGTAAATTCTGAACGCGAGCAAAATGTCCAAACGAGTCAGTCTTTTTATTCTTGTGAATCAAAATTTATGAGACGAAAGCCACGTTGGAGGTCAGATAAGGATGAATCTTCCATTATCGTAGATCTTCTGGTTACACAGTTGTTTCTCAGAGAAAATTTACGATTGAACTAACTCGTTACAGTTAGTATTTCTTTTTTTTTTTTTCTGTGTTTCATTTTCAATAATAGTAATTACAGTACATCTCCTGCAATTGATGCAATTTTTCGTTTATTGTTAAACTGACAAACAGATCTTTGGAAATTACAATCCTTTAACATCAGATTTTATAATCTTCAAATTTACAAGTCTTTCGAATGTTGAATCTTCAAAATTCCAGATTTCAAGTCATCCTTTAATTCTTTATATTCTGACGTTAATTAATTTACATCACTTCAATGCGACAATAATAAACATTTCTTATAAACATTTATGAATCAATTTGTTGTCTCAAAGGTAATATACAGTACAGCTCTTTTTACGCTAGTCTATATTTCTTTTTTTTTTTTTT